CCTATCTAAATTGTAATGAAATAACCAAACTCTTATGGTAATAATAGTTTTTGTAGTTATGGTAAAAATATCCGTAATTCCACAACCCCTATGGCAGAGGAAATATTTTATCTGCAGCTTAAACTTCCCACGACAACTTCACAACTACAAGCGTCAGGTTCAAATGAACTTTACCGCATACAAGTTTAACAATCATCAATAATATTTAAAAATGTATGGTAAATAAATTAATTAACCTGTGACCTAGCCTATACTGTATTTATTTCATTAAAATTACAAGAAATGCATTTTTTACATTTAACGGGAAAATAGTACTTTCTGCATACTTTTTGTATTGAACTTAAGTACCAAACTTTGTTTGGGAAAGAACCATTAGTGTAACATAAGTGTAATTATGTATTTACAGTATCCAAATATTGTCTTCAAAAGTCTTTGTTAGGCCTATGTTACAAACAATATCATACAGGGTGTTCGGCCAAGAGGTATCAAATAACTAACTCGTAAAATATGAAAATGCATCCCTTTAAAATTGCTATAGGCTATGCTAAAATGTCATAAATTCAACCAAGATTGTTACTAAAGCTAAACGTTAATCACATTCTTCCAACACGTCCTCCCACAAGTCCGTTACGTGCCCACAACTCTATTTTTTCCAATTAAAATTCTATATCTTATTCTATATAAGCATAATGAGTTACCGTAGGTCTCATTGAAAGATCTATACCAAAGACTTATGTATTTTTTGTTTTGATGTTCCCAGAGGCCAAAACACACTCTCAATTTAAATTTGTTTGTATATAATGCATTTATTTATAAATATGCCGGTTAGCCCAATGGTGGATGGAATAAACATAGGTGTGCTATTCCTTGGCTATCCCCGTCATATGCTGACGTCACCCAGATTGCAAACAAAAAACGCCTGATTGTATTCCCATATAACTATATGTTTGATTTGATTGTTATTGTTTTTATCTATAAGTATAAAAGAGGATGTTTGTATATATATATATATATATATATTATTTGTTTGTTCGGCAGTGATAAACTCAGACACCGCTGAACCGATTGCCACTAAACTTGGTACATACGTGTAGAATTTCATGGAATAGGTTTATACACCATCAATTTCGTGATCCGTCCAATAGGCTCCGCCCCAGTGGCTCTGGAGTTTCCCATGTTAACCTTATGAGAAATGGAATTAATGAATCTTAACAGCTGTTTCAATTAAACAAGTTGGTTAGTAGGCTACCCAGCGATCGGGCAGAAATTGACCTTGAGATGATGAAATGAAATGAAATGAAATGAAATGAAATGAAATGAAATGAAATGAAATGAAATGAAATGAAATGAAATGAAATGAAATGAAATGAAATGAAATGAAATGAAATGAAATGAAATGAAATGAAAAACGTCTTTATTTAGCCAGCGTTATTCAAAGTACAGTTCTTTGATTTTCAATACAACTGTTGTCAAACTAAACGTAATTGGTCAGCTTATACTAGACTTATTGCAACAATACATTTGAGATCAACTGGCTAATTATTATCGGTATAAAATAAATCTTTCAAACCCCTTTTAAACCTAGAGAGGTTTACTGATTTGAGGTCAGTTGGAAGGGCATTGTAGGCTTGGGGCCCAAAGTAAGAAAAGGCTTTCTTTCCTAATTCCGTTCTGACCCGTGGCAAGTGTAGCAAGCCTTCCTGCCGAGTGAGGCGAACGCTCACCTCAGACCTGAAAACCAGTTTCCTTCTGATGTATTGGGGACACTCCGTTAACAAAGTTTTATGAACAATTAGAACGGTTTGAAGATCACAGCATTGTTTAACTGTCAAGATGTTTGCCCTTGACCTATACTCGCTGATATGATCCGACCTTTTTAAGTTGAAGACAAATCTCAGAGCACTGTTCTGAAGTCTTGTGAGAATATTTATATTCTCTTGAGTAAGGCTGTTACCAAAAGAGGGAAGAGCATAATAAATAGATGGAAGAATTATAGCACGAACTATTTCAAGTTTGGTTGACATTGGTAGAACAAACCTAAACCTATTAAATAATCGTAATTTAGCAACAACAGTTTTACAGATGTGTCTCACATGTTCAGAAAAATTGAGCCTAGAGTCCAATTTGACACCAAGGAATTTTAATGAATCGCTAACAGGCAACGGCTTATCATTTAGAAGAACTTCACAATCAGTATCCTTGTTGTGTTGGCTTTGCACAGAGTAGTTTACGATTCTTAAAACAGAACACTTGTCAGGATTCAGCTGAAGACCATGATCATTAGACCATTTATTAACACTTATCAAGTCGCTATTCATGCGGGTGACTGCTTCAGGAAACTCAGCCAAAGGGTAAGATAAAATAAGGTGCGAGTCGTCGGCGTAAGAATGGACAGAGCAGTGACTAAGCTGTGACTCAAGGTCGGCAGTGTAAATCAGGAAGAGGATAGGACCTAAGCAACTGCCCTGGGGAACCCCCGACACTTTTGGTAAAAAATGTGAAACCTGATCATTAACTCGAGTTTGTTGTGACCTATTACGGATATAGGAGGAAAACCACTGCACAGATCGACTATCAAATTGGTAAAAACTCAGTTTGGCTAACAGAAGATCGAAACTAACTGAATCGAATGCCTGTGAAAAGTCCAAACCAGTTACAATACTACCCCAATTTCTATCTCTTGCACCAATCAATTCATCCATGACATTCAGAAGAGCTGAACTAGTGCTGAACCCCCTTCGAAAACCTGACTGTGTTTTAGGAAGAATTTCCTCTGACTCAAGATACGAGACTAATTGCTCTCCAATCACTTTTTCCAATATTTTGGAAAGCACTGGAAGAATTGAAATGGGTCTGAAATCAGAAACACATGAAGCATTGGTCTTTTTTGATAGCGGAATTATAATACTCTGTTTCCAGGCACTGGGAAAAATGCCAGTATTCATGGATAAATTTACAAGATGACAAATAGCAGAATCACAATAATAACTCAACGATTTAACCATATCAACAGAAATGCCGTCCACACCAACAGCTCGGGTTGTGATGCTGTTCATGACATTCCTGATTCGTTTCTCTGTCACTAGACTGAATGAGAATTTATTCTTCACTTGGCTATTTTGTTCTCAGCGTAGAACTCAATCCTGCCCCTGTCTAAACAACCTTTGCCGCCCATTGTGGAGAAATATTTATTCAAGTCCTCAGGAGAGAAGGTACACTCATTTTCTCTGCTCGAGCCCAGTACGCCATTGCTTCTCAACGATGACCAAAAACCTTTTGGGTCCTTATTCTTTAATTGACTTGAGAAGAACCGCTTTTTTGCGCTTCTTATGGCCGAGTTTAATGTGTTTCTTGCTTTAGTGTAAGCAGATCTGGTCGAGCTGTTCCTACAACTCAAGAATGCTTTATGGCAATTGTTCTTAATTTTTGTCAGAGACAAAATATGATCGTCTCTCCATGGAGCTCTTTTCCTCGTTACACGTCTTCTCACAACCGGTGCACAAGAATTGAAAATGTGCAAAATTTTATTATTTAGAGCATAAACAACTTCATCAACTTCTTTGAGGGAAGCTATTTCATCCCAGTCACACTTTGATGCTAGTTCGGTAAAGAGGTCCACATCAAGGTTTTTCAGATTTCTGTAAGTTACATATTTCGATTTGCTCTTCTTAATTATTATTGGTATGATCTAGGTGTAGATAGGGTACTCTCAGCTGTTTATCTCGAATGCGCATAATCAGCTGATCACGTGACGTCAGTAGGTGTTTGTATTAAATAAATTATTAAATTAAATATTAAATTATGGATAAAAAGTGTTGGCCTGACCGAGGATCGAACTCGGGTCTTTTGATTGGTAGTTGTACGCGTTAGCTGGTAGAGCTACAACAGCAGTTATGGATATAGAGTTTATAGTGGTAAATGACACCTTAACTTATATATAGGGTGGTAAATGACACCTTGTACCTATATAACATATGTATATATACAGGGTGTGTATTGGAGGTTTGATTTTAACCTATCATTGGAGGTTCACGGGTTCGAATCTAACCTATGTTAGAGGTTTCGAATCTAACTAATGGTAACTGAGGTTCACTGGTTCAATCCTAACATATTATTGGAGGTTCACGGGTTCGAATCTAACCTATCATTTCTGGTTATTTAATCCTAACCCTATGCTAGAGGTTCACAGGTTCGAATCTAACCAACCACTAATGGTATTATAGTGAGAGGTCTATGGGTTCAATCCTATCCTAGTAGGTCTGGAAAAAAACACATTATATAGTGTATAATGCTTAAACCTTACTGTTGATCATAATGGTAAATGTTGGAGGTTATTTTATATAGTGTATAGTGCTTAAACTTTACCGTTGAGCATGTTATGTTGATTTTATAATTTGTACATGTGTATCTCTGTAACTTACATATACAGGGTGTGTAAATATTGGTTGGAGGTTTGTGGGTTTAATTTTAGCCTATACTAGAGGTTTAATGCTAACTAATATATTATTGGAGGTTATTCTATATATGCTATAGTGTGATGAAACAAATGATAATTTATGTATCTGATGTTAAAAACAGCTGAAAGAAGGCTAAACTTTACCATTGATTATAAAAAATGGCCTTTGTAAAGGCCACCAAATATATTATGTTAAACTTACATCTAATTTATGCTAAATGAATTACTTTAGGTAGTTTTTTGTATAGTGAGAGGTTCATAGGTTTGATCCTTAGCGGGTTATATGAATTTATGTATGTAACCACAAGTGAAACAGGTCTATTATACTAGAGTACTAGTGTTGATGCAGTAATAAATGTATAAATATATAAGATTTACTATGTATTACTTGTACTATATGTACATCTTGTATAAATGTTTTAGTCTAAGTTGTCAGAGCTTTCTTTAATGTAGCAGTGATTCTTACTATCTTGGTTGATTACGTGACCTCAAACCAATGCTTTGTTAATTAGTAACAACTGATTATATGACATTGGAGCGACCTCTACAGTGTAGCTTGTTTGTGTAGTTCAACACTTGTGTAGTTCAGTGTGAGATCAATGTTACAGCTTCTATTATGGGTAAGTGTTAGAAGTAACTATTTATTAAAACTATTACTATTTTGAAATTTGTATTATAATACAAATGTATTAACAATAAAGGGTTTTTGAGGTTAAATAAAAACAGTAGATTTTACTCAGAGAAATATATATTTAGCCTATCGGCTATAAATTTTCTGCAAAAGGGACATCTATATACCCTGTGCGCGCAATTAGGGCACAGGGTATGCCCACATGGTTGTAAAGCAACTGTGGGGGCATTCTCTAGGCAAATTTGACACGTTACCGAATTAATTGGGGGATTTGATGGTCGTGGAACTCGTTCTGATATCATAGTGTCTATTTGGCCGGTAGTCTGCCTCAATACACCTTCTAAAGTGTTACGGAGGTCCTCCCATAGAGCTGATATAACTGCTGGCTGTAGTCCACAAGCATTTGAATAACCCTCTAATGTATTTCCGGCTAAGCTAGCTACAGCTAGGAGTTCGGTTCGTAGCGTAGCAATCCTACCAGCTGCAGCTGCAGGTAGGGTAAATTCCGGGTTATTCATAGCCTGAAAGATATTATACAAGAATTAATGTTTTTATCTATTTATATAAAATAGTATAAACCATAAATCAGCTGGTTAGTAAAATTTATTACAGTAGTATATAATAAATCTCTCTCAAGTTGGAGGTAAACAATAGTTAAATTTTGTGTGGAAAGTTTAGTGTAAACATATTAATTTATTTATACTTAATTTCTCTTTAAAGGATACCTACCCTTTGAAGTAACCTCCTGCGAAAGGTTTCAAGGCGAGCGCTCTGCCGGCAGCTGCGACATTCACGTGTTTCAGGTATAGTTGAAGTAGAATTCTGAAAATAGAAACATATATATTAAGCTGATTTTTATTTACTTCAATATATAGTTGATTTATCATCAAGGTAATATTATATTTGGATCACTCATTTACTAGTTAATCTGCATCATATAAAACTGGGGTAGCTTTCTCTTCTAATTTAAATTTATTGTTGAAGGAATAAAAATAACTGAATAAACCTCTGTTATAAAAACATATACTACAGATTTATATAAACATTTGTAGATTTAATAATGTAGTGTTTAACTAATATTCTTTCTATAGATTTGTATAGGTGAAATATTTGTTTAAGTACTATATCAAGTCCCAATAAGTGGAAAATAATATGGTTTTATAAACCAGGTGTAGCCCACTGTTGGAATGTAAAACTTATTAGAACTAAAAATATATGTGTTGAAGTAACTTTGTGATTAGTTAACTAATGCAACTCTATTTAAGTGTAACAGTTTATTAGATTAATAGCTATAAAGATTAATAAGTTTGATAAATGTGGTGTTTTATTTTTAAATCTTTAAAAAAGAGATAAATAATAACAGAAAAAATCTAATAGCTGTAATTGTATCTCAACACTTTTATTTGTTGTATATATAAGAAATTTATCATTAGTAACTAAAGCAAGCTTAGGAAGCTAATATGTTTAGTAGAGTTAAAACCATTGAAGTAATTACTTAACTATATCAGCAAAAATAAAAAGTATGTTGAGTTGAATGATTTGATTTTGAGTTTGTTCTTACAGGCTATCAGTATTACACTTATATGTCTTGTAATGTTAAAATACTTATTACAGGTTGTATATGTTGGGGAGATTGTGATGGACCGGCTAATTCATCAGCTGTTGGCCGCTGTCTAGCAACATCAGCTGGAGTATTCACTGTTGAAGGTGTTTGGGATATAGCTGAAGTTGAAGGTATTGTAGGTCTAATGATATTAGTTTTATCGGAAGATGGCTATTGAAAACAAAATAAGTATTAGTAATAGCTTAGGTAGTAATTACTTGATTACATCAGTAAAAATAAAAAAATGTCGAGTTAATTAAATTGATTTTGTTAAAATACTATAATAATTTGTACTTGTTTCTACATGTATGTTTTACTAAACAGAACCTTACTGTTGAGCATAAAAGAATATTAAATATGTAGTAGTATTGGATGTTTATAATAAATGTGGAACAAACGATAATTTATCTATCTGATGTTAAAAACAGCTAAAAGAGGGCTTAACTTTATCATTAAAAGCTACTAAATATAGTAGGTTTGACTTGAAGGTGGTTGATAATTATCTAACTTCTTTGGTAATTATCTAACTACATTAGTAAAATAAAAAGTATGTTGAGTTGAATGATTTGATTTTGAGTTTGTTCTTACAGGCTATTAGTATTACACTTATATGTCTTGTAATGTTAAAATACTTACTACAGGTTGTACTCGTCTGGAAGGTTGGGATGGTCCAGCTAATTCAGCAGTCATTGCTCGCCGCATTGCAACATTAGCTCGTGTATTAGACGACGACCTATCTACAGATAGCCAAATTCCATCGGTTGAGGATGCCTGGGCTACAGCTGAAGTTGAAGGTATTGAATGAGGTGTAATAGGAGGTACTACTAATGAGGGTCTAACAACAGAAACTATTGTTGGTGAGAGCTGTTGAAAATAAAATTAGTATTAGTAATAGGCGGGGTGTTATTAAAATAATATTAAATTGTTTAGGTAATGCTACCTACATGTTCTGATGAAAACATTCGTAGAAAACTTGAAGGTTCCAGTATTATCATATTTGTAATTTCTTCATGTGGAAATCCAGAAATAGGGATTGAAGCTGAAGGGATGTTTGTTAGGTCCCTCTCATAAAACACACCATCTCTCTGAAACAAATAGTTTAAAATGTAAATAGGTATAAGATTCTCTTAAACTATAAAAATCTTTTTGTCTCTATATAACTCACCATAAGAATTCGTAGAACACAGGTAACATCATTAATCCTTGAAGTTATATAATAATCCTCAACTAACAGCTCCTGCAAAGCTGTTGTATAAAGCTCGCTTACACACCTCTCAGCATAATCTTGGTCTACTTGCCGGAAGTTGGTGGGTATAGCAAGTCTAGCTATAACTTCTTCCTGAAACACAATCTTAGCTAAATAATGATATACAGTATAAACATATATAATATAAATTATATTTTAATATTGTTTTAAAAATATTTAAAATGTATTTTACCGAAAAAATGTGAAGAACTATCCCTCTTGTGTGTACGAACCAAAGGCCAAAGTTATTTGATCTGTTAATCTGAAACATAAAATGGTTATAATATAATCCTAGTAAATATTTGTTGTATTGTTTTTGCTTGTATATTTTTGGACTTTTTAAATACTTCTTTTAAAATATTTCTTACTGAGTCTCCACGGGGTAAAAGCACTCGTTCTGTATTTAGCCGCCTACGTCTAGTGGGTGGTGGTGAAGAACTCTCAGATATCTGTAAAAATAAAGCTTATTAAAAATAGAATAATAATAACTAACTGTTAGTTTAACTATTATTGAAATCAACTCATCTGTTGGTTGCTAGACTTTTTTAAAATTACAACCTTAAACTAAAATTAAAGTTTTAATATTTTTTATCATAAAACTCTGTTACATACCTAGGATTATTTAATATCTAAGATATGTATTATATAAGGAAAACTATAACTTACATTATTTATAGCTCTTCTTTGTTCATTTTGTCTACTCTGTAAATAGAAGGAAATAATATTATTACCATATTTGAACTAGTAATATTATATAACTCTAAAAGAATTTTTTGTCAAAACATTTTGTTGGTTAGGAATATCTGTGTAGTCTAAATATATACACCTGTGTGTTTAATCATGCTTAACATTATATGTTGTAGCTTTCTGAAATTATAAGGCTCTCTTATAAATAAAAATTAAATCACAAACTATGATCAAGTATAGTTGTAAGTATAGTATAGTTGATAAAGTATAGTATAGTTGAGATAAATAGAACTTGTTTGAAATTTAGAACATTGTGATTGGTTTGTAATAGAAAAAAAGCTATTAAAATAAGTAGAATTTAAAATCTTGTTTAACAAACTCTAACTAATTCTAATCTATAAATATACTTACAGCTGATCTTAGAATATCAAGATCATCTTGAAAGAAGGAATCTCTTGAACTCTGACTTGGTGGAACTACAGATCCAGGGCTTGAAGGTGGTGAATCTATGATGCTTGAATTTGGGCTTGATGGTGAACTAGCTGGTGAGTTGTTTTGAATAGGAGTTACTAAATAGTTATAGATGTGATCATTTATGTGTATCCAGTTTGTATTAGCTGTAAAACGCTGTAAACATATTTATATTTTAATTAAATTCTTAAATTTCATCTTTAACCATCATATCTTTAAAATTCGTATTAGGCCCATTTAAAACTTGCTACTGATTCAAGTAAATCAAATATTACAATTTTCTAATACAAAGAGACATGTAGAATGGCACCGACGAGTCTACTAGTATCATATTCAAGGTCCCGGGCAATGGACGCACAACCTGACGTCTTCAGTGAACTGCTGATCGAAGTGGCAGCCAATCACAACGTTGAGCACCAAAGGGATCAACTATGATTGGACACTGTAGGCGGGGTTAATTAGAATGATGGGAAAATCTTAAAAAAAAAGGAAGGGACAGGAGGAGCAAGATGGCATCAGTCTGGAAGAAGATTTGCGAGGCTTAGGACGGGGTCGGATCGAGCAGGCCCCAAATTATATCAGGATTGGTAAAATCTGCCACCTGAATACGTCCTAGGCCAAACTACTTCACCTACTCAGCCCACGCCGAGAGAAGAGGTTCCAGGGGTCGTCATCCACCATCGAGGACCAGGATCAACCACCGAGTCATCTGCCAACGGAGACAAGGGGAGGCCTGGACATCACGAGACGTCACCTCGGGGAATTCATCTACCCTCAAGATCTTCTCCTCGGTATGTCAAAATTCAATTATAATTCCCAGGACAACAAATTTTAGAAGAAAGAAGATAAATTTAAATTACATAAAAAAGGGCCTAAGTTAAATAACTGCAATTCATTCAAATTAAACCTAACTTAAAAATAAAAATTTAAAACCTAAATAATCGATGATATAAATCATAAATAATAATAAAAATATTATTTCCTGCTAAATAAAAACAACAACAAAATAGCCTTAAAGGTTAAACCTGTAAAATAATGTTTTTGAAATAGCCTAAGTAAGTTCTCATTTAGTATTTTATTTTCAAACGTGTATATTTGGTAGTTTGCTAAATGTGAATAGTCTTTGTTTGCAAAGTGTATTAATTTGATAGAATTTCATATTAGGATTGTGTATTAAGTTTTGTGAACTGGACTTTGGCCAAATGGCAAAGATGTAGATTAATAACATTTATGAATATCCATATATTTATATAAAAGGGTTTAATTAATTAAGAACGAGTCATTTTACATTGGTATTATATCTATCACTTTTAATCTTATATGTGTTCAATTCTCTTATCTTGATACTGGGGCCCCAAAAATGTTTAATTCCTTTGGTTAATACGTAATTTGGTTTATTGATCATCATATATATATATATATATAATGTGTTTTAAAGGGTTACATACATTAGACTAAATAATTAAATAAAATTTAGTAACTCATACAATGGTGTCAGTTCAATCAGTTCCTGAGTATTCTCACATATACCAAGCGAGATTACTGAGCTTAGTTGTAGTCATTTTGTATTTTTCACATTTAAAATAAGAACAAAACCCCACAAGTTTACATGGTGGAGGCTGCCGATTTGATTTAATTATCAACGATGATTGGACTGGCACAGATGAGTTATGCATGTTAAAATAAGTGTTGTGTGATTAATATGTTTTAAGAAGTGACAATTGAATAGTAGGGATTTTTGAATTAGCAAAGCGACAATACCGTTTAAATGCTTAGATTAGGTTAGGACTTTGTCAGGTTATACATATAAAAGATATAAAATACTTTAGGGAACTTATAAACGATCTAATAGGCAATTTACACAAGCAGTAAATAGCAAAATATAAATACAGTAGTAACATAAAAATACACATATTATTTTAATTAAATTGCAGTCAAGTAACTAATCATAAATAACATAGCCTACTCTGATTAGGAATTTGTTAAACAAAAAAAATTATGAAATGCCATTAACAGAAGTGGATTTACCCTCAGACATATATAGGGTTAAAAAGGAGCAATTACAGCTTATTTTGTCAAAATTTAACATAAAATATAGGGATGAGGACCTTGTAGCCGAATTGAGGCCCATTGTAGCTGACCTTAAAGCTTTTGTAAAAAATAATTGGTCTGAAGAGAAAAAGTTGATTTTAAAGAAACTTTTAAGTAAAAGATGTCTTTCGGAAGCTGAACTGTTAAAACACCCTTCATTGAATCGCATACACACATTCATCAGTGACAGGGAAAACTTGTATGACACCCCAGCTAGTGACAGTGAGGAGGACGAAAATTACGAGGACATTGAAATAGCATCAGAGGACTTAGGAGAGATCCAATTAGCCGGCACATCTTTAAACGTACATTTACCACAACCCTTAAACAATACGGTTTGTTACGTAAATCAGCCACCTATAGCAAACAACATGACACAACCCAAAGAAAATTTACCATTAATTTCTGCTGGTACATACCACGGTCTAGTCACGGAAAACCCCAGCGATTTCATAGACAAATACGAAATCGCAGCTCAATCAAACAATTGGCAGGAAACGTCAAAATTAAATTTATTCCCAGCCCACTTAGCGGGAAATGCACTCACTTGGTACCAACACTACATGAAAGGGAGACTAATTAATAGTTGGGATGAACTTAAAAACACCTTTATAAGTACATTTACACCCGTTGCGCAAGCACAAACACTGCAAAACATTTTGGATAAAAAAGTACAAGGGCAGGATCAGCCGGTGCTGACGTATTACTTAGAAGTACTAACACTATGTAAACGGCATGACCCCGAAATGTCAGAGAAAAGGATAGCTCAATACATTATACAAGGTCTACGACCTGAATTTTGTGACAGGGTTTTGTCCGAAACGTGTGAAACATTAGAACAACTAGAAACAAGCTTAAGAAAAATTGAACTACAACTTCAAATCAAATTAGTTAATAGGGAAAAATACAACAGAGCAGAAAGAGAGGGATTAATTCGAGGGGACACTGACAGTAGGGAACAAATAAACAATTTACAAGCCGAGATTAGGTCCTTAACTCAAATAGTATCCAACATGACCATGGCAGGAAACACATAAAGAACTATGCTCAAATAACGTTACCCCTAACAGAACTAATAAAACAATCAAATCAAAATTTGCCTTTTGAATGGAAAGATGATTGCGAAAAAGCTTTCAATGAAATCAAACAAATTTTAACAAATCCACCAATCCTTTCACATTTTAGGGAAGATTGGGAAACAGTAATATTTATTGACAGCTCATTGTTTGCACTTGGTGCTTGCATACTACAAATTAACCCTGAAAATAATCAAATGCATCCTATTGCATATCTATCTAGAAAATACACTGACACTGAGAAGAGGTACACTAACGCGGAAAGAGAAATGCTAGCTCTATGTTACGCGGTTAACTACTGGAGAGAATTCACTTTAGGTAGACAAACTACAGTTTTCACCGACTGTCAAGCACTCATACATTACAAGAATTTCAAGAACACTTCGTCACGCCTAAATCGTTTAGCTCTTTCTTTGGTCGATTACGACATCATTGTAAAATATAAACAAGGAACTTCAAATTTATTAGCAGACAGTCTTTCAAGAAACCCACCCGAGGAAATAATAGATCAGGGACTAATTGAACTAACTTTAAATACACAGGAAATTAAAACCGAAAACTTTGAAGAACTTCAAGCAAAAGATCCGTATTTAAAACAAATTAAGTTAGCTAAACTATCACCAGATTCTGTTCCCAAGAAAATAAGACATGAATCCAGAAAGTATATAGAGCGAGATAACATATTGTATTACAAGCATTTTAACGGAAGTAACACTGAACATTTATTAGCAATACCTCAGGAGAAGGTTAACGACATATTGAAAACTTGTCATGATAATATTTTCTCAGGAGGACATTTTTCAAATTTTAAAACTGCAAAGAAAATAAAATCTCGTTATTATTGGCCTAACATGAACCAAGACATTGAACACTACACTAAAACATGTGAACAATGTCAGTTAAGGCGATCTCCCACGTATAAGCAATATGGTAAATTAAATCCCCAAATACCTCCAATAACACCATTTGAAAGGATTATTATAGACTTTTTAGGGCCAATAACGCAAAGTCATGGATACAAATACATTTTAATCATCACAGACCCTACCACTAGAATGGTTTACACGCGTGCAACACGAGCCGCGGATTGCAAAACCGTGGCTAAAGTACTGCTAGATCTGTTTTGTTTATATGGTGTGCCAAAAATCATAACCCACGACCAGGGAACACACTTCATGGGACAAGTTCTTAAACAGTTGTTACAAAGTTTAGGGATAGAGCAAAAAGCTAGCCCGCCCTATGCACAACGAGTTCAAGGTTTAACCGAAAGAGCCAATTTAGTAATTAAAACAGCAATTTCCCACTACATTGAGGAAAATCCACACAATTGGTCCGACATTTTGAAGTATGTTACATTTGCCTATAATACTACAATAAACAAGAGCACAGGTTACACGCCCTTTTACTTAAATTTTGCACGAGAAGCTAGACATCCATCTGATTACATCTATACACACGAAGATCAAGACACAGACATCGTAAAAGAAATCAAACTAATTCACAAAATTAGGACAGAGGTTCCCAAAATCTTAGAAAAAGCCCAAAATAGGCAAAAATCGTTCTTTGATCAAAATAAAAGGGATTTAGACTTACAGCCAGGGGATGAGATATTAATTAAATATCCTACTGATCACACAAAGAAATATAGCAAATTTCAAAACTGTTTCAAGGGGCCATATCACATTACCGGGAAAATAAATTATTTGACCTACATGGTAGCTCTAGAAAAAAGAGGTAGATTGTGTGAAGAGCCGGTACATGTACAAAATATTAAGCCGTTTCATAGAAGATAAATACAAATTATTAACGTTTAACCCTCACTAGCATCTTTATTAAGCTTGTAAATAATCATCATGTTGGGAGAGAAAGGAAAATATTATTTAATTTGCATTAAATTCTGAAGAGTA